AGGCAAGATTTTTGAGGCAAAAATTGTTTAATGTGTTGAGAAGAACAGCCTAATCGTGCGCTAAGCCATATTTATATTTTACTTTGATATAGCATACAATTAGAGCTCTGAGAAATCATAAATGTAACTTGAAAAAGGCACATATAAAGTCACACGTAATAGTATAATAAGTAAATAAATACTCCATTGATTTTCAGTGATTTTCGTAATTAGATATTTAACACAGTTTATATTCGGTATTCGTAGCATAGTATCAAGCATTCATTCACAGTCATATAGCAAACACTGCGAATGATTCGTTCATGGAACCGATGTAATATCTAGTCATTGTCATCATCAGACTTTTACTTTAATTAGGCCAATTATAATCAAATTTAAATTTTTATATGAGTTATTGGGGATGAGATGATGTTTAAGATGAAGAATAAGAAGGTATTCAAAAGTAGGTGCTGTTTTGCAAAAGTAGCGTTACCATTACAATCATCTTCGACTGCAGTAACTTTGGTATCCTTGACTTTTGCCCTCCAGTTTATCAAAATAACTGCGATTATGGTGTTACACCAACTGCCAACTCAAGAAGTGTCCTGCGAAGATACTCTCTATAGCAATCAAGAAGACCTCCCCCAAATTTTTTAAGTCACATTGGTATTATTCATGTATGTGTTGCCCTTACCCCAAAGGTCTGATGACTATGTAACTCAAATAATTACGTAGTTTGTTTAATACATACATTTACTATGTATACTATGCGGTCTACTTGTTTTCCTATCTTATAATTTATGTGCTTAGAGCCTTTGGAGGTTACTAGAAAATATCGAAAGAAGAGATATCTTTACCCAAATATTTTTATATATTTTATTTTTAATACTAGTAATTTATTTGCTAATAGTAAAAACAAATTAATAAACGAAAGAATAAATAGCAAAGTAAATAATTTATTTTACAAAACAGGAAAGCTAAAAATTACTTTTCCTATGACGAAAAATCTAAATTGAATATTGTGTTTAGGTATATACATAAATACTATTATGTAATGAACATGTAATAAAATTATTTCTCCATTTCAACATTTGAAGAATTGTATATGTATATCTCTGATTTTTTTCTATAGCACCTTTGAAGTGTTTTGAAGAGAAAAAAAATATAATTATATTTCTCGTAAAAACGTAATGTAATAAGGAAAATTTGAAAGTACAGTTTTCATCTTACTTTAATAGTCTTTGATGTCAGAATCAATTTAGAAATAGATTGTTTACAAAACTCTGACGTTAATTTTAAGCATGAGCGACCACTTTACATAAATTTGACTTTCACACCTCTAATTTTGTATCCAAGGCTCTCTCATTACAGGTAAATATATAATATTATGTAGAAGGCGGCACTGTTATTTAATTAATTTTAAAAGACTTATTGCTAATAAAAGAGCGAGTATACAACGTCGGATGCTTTATTTGTCTACTAACAAAAGGAAAATGATTTCGAATGTGTCATCAAATCCCATAGAAACCGGGATAAAGGAACGCATCGGTGAAGGATAATAGGTAACAATTTTTAAACTTTTCAAAAATACCAATAAGATTTTCTAAACATTATTGACTGCTGGTTTAAATTAAAAGTTTTTTTTACTTCAATTATGAAATCTAGAATTATAAAAGAAAAAACAATTATTTCTTATTTATCATTTTCAAAGCTTTGAAAATTTTTTAACAATTAAATTAATAATTCACAATCAAATCCAATTTTGTAAAAGAATATAAACATAATAGTTATAGCTAAGCACTGAAAATTTAGTACTTTTCAATACTTTCACAAATTAATGCTTTCAGACTTGTAGCCTAAATAAACAGTCATGTGTACAGAATATACAACTTGTCATATATTGCTTGTGTATAATATCTCCCTGCGGATAATGACAAAGGTTCTCCTTTGAGTGTTCCAACAGTACCTTCAATTTAAATAAAAAAAGAATATTTTAAAACATCTCACTTAAATAATTCAATAGCCTACTTAATAAGTATGTATGTATATTTTAGGGAGTCAATTAGTCTGAATGTTTAATGTTAATTAGATTTTCTTTTTTAAATTATTATAATTTTTCGACGATTGATGAATGTTAATTTAAGATTACATTCATTTTAATTATGAAACTAATATTTTATTTAGGCTAATTAAGGCGTAGTCTAGAAATATTACGATACTGTAGACATTTTTAATGATTATAATTAAATGACAAAAGTACATTTTATATTCTGGGAAATTTCTTTGACAAATACAAAATAAACACGTTGGGCCATGTCGGTAAAAGAGCTTCAGATACATACTTAATATATCTTCAAAAGCAATTCGATGTTTTCCTCATGTGCAAGAAATAGATTCGGTGTCTTTTTACATCATAAAGAGTGTAAATTTAAGGTTCTTTGGCGGTATATTTTTATATTTGCATTACGTGTTTACCCTAAAACTTAATAAGCTCATATATTGTATATAATAAATAAAGTTTTAATATTTGTTCTATGAGATATGTCAGGTTTCCGTACCGGTGCCAGTGCATGCATGGGGTTTTTATGGGTGCGAGTGTTTCAAAACGTCTGTATTCCGGTGTGTATCTATGATTATTCGTTTGTAAACATGTGGATGTATTTAAATTAAGTAACAGATCAAATTGTACTTTTGTTACTACCGTACTACCTAAATTATACGTGATAAACGCTTTATTTACAGTTAATTGGGTAAAGAAAAGTGAACACAAAAATATAATAATGATATATACTTAATAGAACTGTACTATACATATACTGTAAATTTGTAAGTTATAAGTGGTAGGAACAAACCCTGTACCAATCCAAATATCATCCCCACTTTCCATTGGTAAACCCTACTAACTAATGGACGAAGCTCAGGAGACTTGCGACTGGGCCGACTTGAAGGAAACGCAATGGATAAAAATGAGAACTGGAGACATTGGAAAGGTTACAAGCTTTATTAGTGTGGAAATAATGGAAAGCGGTATGGTATGGGAATTATATAGTGAAATCAAAGATTGTGTGGCAAATGGCAAGAAAGTGAATTATAGGTTGGTTGTTATATAGGCAATAAAATAATGTGAATTGTTGAATATGTATAAATATCAAGGAAATAAACCCTTAAACTGGATGTCAGAAGAGAAAGAAGTGTTGTGTAAGAAGGAGGTGATTTAATTTATGTGTTATATGTGTATTTATATGTTATTAATCATTTAAGTTCTATATGTTTAAGCAGGCTGACCCTGGGAGGGGTCAGTTTCAGATATGATTTACGAAAAATAAGATTAGGATGGGGTAATGAATCTGAAAGGTATATAATATGCATTAAAATGTAGGCCATGAATGTGAGCTTAAAATACAATTAAAAAATAAAGGATTTACTTTTTTACCTTAGAAAAAACAGATTGATTTAGCCTTACTTAAATATTCTTAGCAATATTAATATATGTAAGTATCTAATAACTATACAACAAATATCAGTGACAAGCAACAGTAAAAACTTTAAATTTAATATTAAAAGTACATATGTTGTTAAATATTTAATATTATTCTCTGAAGGGCTTTTTAATACTCAGGATTCCCAAAAATGTAATAAAGTCTAATAATTTAGTAACAATACAAAATTAATATTTTCGTCGTAAAAAAATTTATCTTTCAATAATTCAAAACAATGCATTTTAAAACGTCAAAATCTAACATGATTGAGATATCTTAACCAAAAGAGAAATGTTTGCTTTGTTCTTGCTGATCATTTCTATTCTTAATTTGTTAGAAGCATTATTTTAGTCACAAAATATTTAACAAGACTTTGACAGCTTTTATAATTATAAATGTTATAAGTCTGTTTGACAAGTTTAATGTTTTGAATTAACTGCCTTATTTATGAAAAGTCTTAGTTTAAATGTAGAAAACATTCTCGAGATACCATTTATTATTTATTCTTGATAAAAAGATTTCTTCGTGAGAGAGACGTTAATTGGAAAGGAAACGGTAAAGAAAATATTTTAAAAAACGTTCTCTGAATATTGGATTACAGGTAGATAATATTTTTTTAATAAATTAATATGTATAGAAAAAAATACACTTTAATTTAAACTTATCAAACCTATTTCAATTTGTATCATATACATATCTAAAGTGATCAATTTAACCTTTACTTTATAAAAATAATGAATATTCAAAATAACTTTTTAAAAACATGCCAAGATACTCTTTATTATTTGAGTCAAATAAAGAGATGCCACTTGACGTTAAAATTAAATTAAACCTCAATTTCAGAAGGAGTATTGAAAATAATTATAAGCTCAAGCTTGTTTACACAAATTTAACTCTTATTTCACACATTTAATTTGCCTCACAAAAGCAAGATTACTTTTCTCAAGTGAAATATACGGCGTGTTCAGAAGCGTGTAGTTAATTAATTAACATTTTAACAGTGTAATTGAAGACGATAAGTTATATTTGTAAAGTCAGTACGCCCTAATTAGCATTACAGTTCACGTATGAAGTAATTTTTCGGTTCTATAAATATTATATGTACATTACATAATTATTCTTATAAAATATTAATTGGCCTTTATTATATGTAATATATTCTTGTCTCCTATCAATTTGCTAAGTAATTCTTAATATACATGAAATATTGTATTTTTAGAAATCAGAAGCAGATATATTAAAAAAGAAACAATTTCAACACTTGACCTAGTTATTTAGTCTCGTAAAGTAATTTTAACATTAAAATTAATTAAATAGAAAGAACAAAATCCTAAACTTAATAATTATTAAACGCTTTAACAAAACTACACGACCGGTGTTTGCATTACGAACGCCAAGAGCCAAGCGACAAGTGACAAGTGGCGGTTTGAATGCTTCTTTTATAAACAATCGTGTGGGTAGTTCTTTTATAAATAATGACGGTTGTAAGCTGATTGCTTATACGGCCTCTCCTGACATAGTGGCGTCCTCGACACGAGCTTTTCATTGATCGTCACTTGATCCAGCGCCATCCGCTTCAACGTCTTCGTCCAGCAACGGTATCGAAAGACTGACCCCTGGCTGTGGTATAGAGCCGCTGGGACCAGCGACGCTAACGGCTCCAAGCTTTGAGTTCTCATTGAAGGAAGGCATCGAGGGTCCTATCCCCGAAGATAGTGCTCTGTCCGGTGACTCGTCTTCACTATTATTCTCATCAGCAAATCTGTTACTGTTATTAGGAATTAAGTTTAGTCTGTGTGACATTCAACCTTACAAACATTCCATCCATCGTCATTCAATCAATTCAAACTTCATCTATCCCACAATCATAGCAACACGTATTCTGCCACCCTTTAAATAATAACAGAGTCGTTTCTTAAAACGACTAGTTGAGTATAAGTGCTCTTCTTCACGGCAGTAGACTCCATTCCATATAACTGAACTTTCATGAACGCCTAGACAGTATGTCTGTAGTTCAACGAACGCCAAGACATTACGTCTGAAGTTCGAAATAGACGCCAAGGCCTTGAGCCTGAAGTCTCAACATTGAACGCCAAGGCCAAGCTGGCCTGTAGTTCTTACATCAAAGAAATAGACGCCAAGGCCTTGAGCCTGAAGTCTCAACACTGAACGCCAAGGCCAAGCTGGCCTGTAGTTCTTACATCAAAGAAATAGACGCCAAGGCCTTGAGCCTGAAGTCTCAACACTGAACGCCAAGGCCAAGCTGGCCTGTAGTTCTTACATCAAAGATATAGACGCCAAGGCTTTGAGCCTGAAGTCTCAACACTGAACGCCAAGGCTAAGGTGGCCTGTAGTTCTTACATCAAAGATATAGACGCCAAGGCTTTGAGCCTGAAGTCTTAACACTGAACGCCAAGGCCAATCTGGCCTGTAGTTCTTACATCAAAGAAATAGACGCCAAGGCTTTGAGCCTGAAGTCTCAACACTGAACGCCAAGGCCAAGGTGGCCTGTAGTTCTTACATCAAAGAAATAGATGCCAAGGCTTTGAGCCTGAAGTCTTAACACTGAACGCCAAGGCCAATCTGGCCTGTAGTTATCATATCAAAACTCGTGCATACTCTTAAAGAAGGCTGCACATGACTCGGGACACCATCACCACGCCAAGGCACCATGTATCGTGCCGCAGTTTGTGTAGTCTCCCCGTAGCTGCCACTCAGTAACTTGAGCTCATCGTCCGTTCAATAGAGCTTTCACGACTCGGTAGGGTCCTCGCATTCCATCTGAAATACCCAGCCAGCCCTAAGAACTGGCGCACCTGTCGAACACTTTAGGGGATCTGTGAACTTACAAGAGCTTCGACCTTATGTGGGCTCGGCCCTACCTGACCCTGACTTACATCTCGTCCAAGATATTCAACCTCCGTAGTTAAGAACGAACACTTACGTAGGTTTATAGAGAACCCAGCGGTAGTAAGCGTTTGGAGGACTTTTTTTTTAAAAGAGAAATACTTTCAACGATTGTGGAGCTCATTATGAGGACGTCATCCACGTAAACCAGGACCTGACCTGATTCTTCTGGGGTAACGAACCCAGTCAATCGATTCAAAACCCGAAAGCCAACGCATAGGCGGTCCAAACCATCCTTTTTCTTAACGAGTATGACCGGACTCGCGTACTGTAAGCTTGACTGTAAGTTTGACTCCTGATAATTCCTTTTTCCAAAAGCTCGTCTATAATTTTGCGGACTCGGAGATTTTCATCGTAGGAAAGCTTATGGGGTCGGTAAACCACTGGGGTTGTATCCGTTAATTGAATATTCATTTCGCCGGTGTTAACAGTAGTTGTAGCTGTTCCAGCGATAAGAAACTCTGAGAACTCCTTTATGCTTTTAAGCAACAATTCATAACTCCCTTAAGGGGCGTGTTTATCTCAAGACACCGTAAAATTAAATAGTGTTAAATTGAATAGGGGAATCAGTAGACCTCGTCACATATTGATCATCTTTAGTGCGAATATACATGATACCATCGCGATTTAGTATATCCGTTCCTGCAATAATCGGTGCGTTCATACACGAAGAAGGGACTATAAGCAGATTCACCTCAATTGAAATTTGACTAAACTCGAGAGTAACGGTCACATAAGCTTTGACTACTATTTCTTTTTCGCTTATACCCTTTAAGACACAGTTGATAGACTCTGGTTGGCTGGCAAGGTACCTCAGCACGTCCGAGGAAATAAGTGACACGTTAAGAGCACCGCTATCAATGATAGCATCCATGGGAATGTCATCTACCACAACAACAACAATATCACTTGCACCCGCATTTTTAGAATTATTCTCCGCGCAAAGGTTAACGTTTCTCTCGTTTCGCTGTTTAGAACGATTTTTAGCAAAACAATCTTCTTCCTTGTGGCCCGGCTTTTTATAAAAAGTGCATGTAATACTGCTCGAGTTTCTAGAGGAAAGTGTTTTATTATCTGTGCTGGGCTTTGAGTGACAATAACGGCTAATATGTTCCTTACGACCACACACGAAACACTTCTGTTCGTTACGATTTGGTTGATTAAAATCTCTATTAGTTACCGAAGTGTGGGTGGGTAGTAGTTTTCCACGACCTGGTTTAGTATAAATTGATAAAAACGAAACTATTGTTTCCGGATTCAAATGTGCATTAGCAGCGGCAGCTCTTATTTGAGGATTGTCAATACCGCGGATCACGATTAAAGTCATAAGGTCCTCACTTAAACCGTTAACTATTCGTAAACGTAAAAGAGTCGCGTCGTGCGTATTCTGCATAGGTAACGTACTTATCAGATGTGGTATTCATTGTTTGAAAAAGGATGTTAGCGTAATCTAACTTGCGCGGGCACAGTGATTTGGATTCGCGTTTGAAATTTGTCCACGTGCGATCGGTCGTAACCCATTCGTTTTTCGCCAAATTTTTGCGTCACCCTTGAGACACGAACCAATACGAGATAGACACTCAGAATCAGTCCAACCATTTGCCACCTGAGCGCGATCAACCTCGTCGCACCATGATTCTATGTTACGAGTAGAAGGATCAAAATTTGAAACAAAGTAATTGTGTGACCTGATTCGTTGCAACAATTTGAGAGCATCTACTAGGGCCCTGGTTGAGTCGGGCTTGTCTGACTCTAAGTTACTTACTTGTGGTGTAAATGTGCGGGTATACGGTAAACAATTTTTAGTTCGTGTGTCATGGGTACTCGCCTGAGGCTCCGGCGTGTAGCACCTGGACATGTTTGATTGTGATGTGTTCAACTTGCCCTCGGTGGTATTACACGTAACACTGGGATCACAACGCACAATTGTTTTTTTTTTTTTTGAAACACTTGTTACGCAATTATTTTCTATCGACGTTAAACGATTCATGATCGAATTCAGTGTATTCTGAATAGAAACATCTGTGGTATTTTGAATGCGCAGGGACAGCGACCTATCGTTGTGGTGATTACGGTGGCGTACACTATCATGACGCGACGTATTACGAGTTCGGGCACGGTTTTTACTTCGAATTCTACTGCGTGAACAACACGCTGACCGGCGGTTATTAATTGTGGCCTTAGAACAGCTACGCGAGCGATATCGCGATCTACAACTCGTACGGCTGCGAGAACGATGTCGCGACCTACGCTCATTACTGCTAGATCTGCCAGCCATATCAAAATGAACACGAGAACTAAAAATATGTGTAAAAGACTTTGTTCCTCCTTTCTTGTGGGCAAAAAGTTACTTATCCCACTTCTGATTTTAGAAATCAGAAGCAGATATATTAAAAAAGAAACAATTTCAACACTTGACCTAGTTATTTAGTCTCGTAAAGTAATTTTAACATTAAAATTAATTAAATAGAAAGAACAAAATCCTAAACTTAATAATTATTAAACGCTTTAACAAAACTACACGACCGGTGTTTGCATTACGAACGCCAAGAGCCAAGCGACAAGTGACAAGTGGCGGTTTGAATGCTTCTTTTATAAACAATCGTGTGGGTAGTTCTTTTATAAATAATGACGGTTGTAAGCTGATTGCTTATAGTATATATATTCATTAATTAAATTTAATGCTGTACAAAAACTCACCTTTTTTATCTATTTTTTTTGAGTTATACCAATTTCCATTTTTTTTTTGAAGTATCTAACATATCCTGCCCTTTCCCTTTTCCCACCCTTTCCTACCATTTCCTTAACCTAAACCTACCCCTCCCCGTCCCTAAAAAACAAGGTTGGCAACGCATCCGCAAGATGTCCATGGGCGACGGTACCTACCTTCCATCAAGTGGGCCGTCTGCTCGTTTGCCACCTTTCAAAAAAAAAAACATGTTTAGAGTGAACCTCATATTATGTTATTATGGATGATATGTTAGTTATAGTTTATATAATCTTTATAAATATATGCTATAGCTTCTTACAATTTATAATAATAACCAACATTAATATTAAGATGGAAACTTTTTCAAAGTTTATTAACCCGACTCCAATTAATAAATATATGTTAAAAAATACGCATTTACTTTTTATAGTCGTACCGAATGGCTTCTATATTTATATTAATTTACAATATTTGGTACGTTTATTTAGCCTGCGTTGGTCAATTGCGAAGGTTGTTAATATTAGTTATTTTTATAATAGTAATTGTAATATTAACTTGAATTTGAAAAGACTAAATAATAAATATGTAAGAGGCATGAGTTTAATTTGATAACCTACCCATATCATGGGTATGGACTATTGAACATTACGTAGCTGTTTCCAATTCGTGGTAAGAAATCACCGGAAGTCATGTATATATGTTGTAAATAATTAATTTTAAATTTCAAATATTTATGGGCACATGAGATGAGATGAGAGACTTTATTTTGGCACTGCCTCAAGGTTAAGCATTTTCATATTCGCGTTACCAATATATTGTCTCTATTTTGAATTAAAATAACATATTGTTCTATCTACTTGCATACAGTTTTATTCGTTCACTATTTCTGTTAAAGATTTCACATTCTTTTATCCTCCATGTGTTGATCACTGTCATTTCTCTGTACCAACGAGTAGTTTATTCATTTAACGTTAAATCGTATTTTAAGTTTTGGGTTGTAGTTAATTCTCTTCTATGTCGCCGAAAGCCAGCGAGTGCTCTATTAACTAACGCTAATGGTTTACACTGATATACTTATTCTGTTTTAGTATCCAGTCGCAAATAACTGACTTTATATTGACAACACATTAGCCTTCAATAAGCAAAAAAGTCTTTGATATTTTTTATGATTCTGAGTTTTTTAGAGTAAACTTTCTCCGTGAAATATTTTTCATCACAGCCTTTTTGTTCTTCATCTAATCATTAATCATACACTTTTTCTATTACACAGTTTTTATACGAGTTATATCATAGCTTAATTTTTTTTTAGAGTTATCACAATAATTTTTTCAAAGAGATATATTATGAGTTTCATATCACCTTACTTTTTAGGACATAGAAAAAAAAATTGTTTTAAATATTAATTTGACTGACTATAAATTCTATCTCAGATAAGTGGTTACAAAAGTGACGTAGCATTGTTTTTCAATTTCATGCAATATGGTATAAACATGCTCTTTGATATTTGTATAAAGATTCCAAGATAAATGTTTATAGTTGTGTGTGATTTATACTAGCTTAAATAAAGAAATGAAAAAAATAGACGCGATTGAATTCTGAGATAGAGTTTCATTTATAAGGTTAAAATAATTCCTGCACTAAATCATCAAATACTGACCAAGAGTCTTCCTTCAGCGAAAGATAAATATTTTTCAAAGACAAACTGTTTTTACGCTCAGCCGTAAATAAACAGGCTTGTTTACTACATATCCTACGTCAAATAGTAGAAATTACTTACGCTCTATGTTATACATAATATATATTCAGAATACATATGAAGCAAAATTATTCATGGCCATGACATGAAATAATATTTTCATTATGTATTTTTATTGAAATAAAATCATTGGTACATTTTTCTCACGTTGTTTCTTTGAAAAAGAAAATGTTCCTCACGGATATTTAGTGTAAGAGATGATAAAAAGCGTAAACCAAAATATTTGTTTTTATAAAAAAATATATGGCGGAATAAAGAGAGTTTTACATCAATATTTACGGTATTAATAAATTATCTTTTTTTCTGTGGCTGCCAGACAAATATTTAATATAACATACCTCTGATAATATATCTATTGCTGAGACCATGTTCCCGTAAAAGCAGTCTCGTGTATATGCCCTCAAAATCCTCCACAAAAGCTACTTAATATCTGTTTCTTATTTTACATGACTATATGGCTTTCCAGAACCCGTATTTAAATATGGGTTTATATTACTCGAATATTTATGTATTAAAAATTTCTACTTTCACAGACATTGGCAATTTTTGGGTAACTTATAAAATAAACTTTTATATACATTTTAATAACAAATAGATAAGTCGCTATAGCATGAACTACTTTTAAGCAAACAAACTACGAATACGGAAATAATACAAACGGTGAATCACTGTACGTATGTATTCACTATTTTCAATATGCCAAAAACCATGAATCTTTTAATTAATTTATTTTTTGTTATTTATCCATAAACGCTTACAATAATAACATCAGAAAATTTTAAAATAATACATACTAAAAGGTAAACATACCAAAGGTGGTAATTAATAATAGTACTTATCAGCTAGACTGTTTTTTATTATGCGCGTGCGAGCGTGTACGTGTGTGACTATTAGTCTCTGTGTGTGCGTGCGTGCGTTCGAGTTTCTAAATAAAAAGGGGTTTGATTCATTTAAAAACTGTGATTTGTAATTAATTGGGGATTTTTGTCAATGATAGTCATAAATTCTTAAAAGTAACATATAATTTTATAGCACTCTTTTTAATCACTTGTTATATTTTCATAGTTTTTCGATAATGCTTGGCATTTCATCGATTTAAGAGCGGACAGTTATCAGTGAAGTACTCGAGATATTTAATTTTAAATAAATTACTGGATATCAAATTTGCTACTTACGGCTATAAAAACACTGACATTTAATAAGATGTTTAAGTTGCATATAAAATAATAATTTGATAATTTAAATCTCGTGGTTTAATGAAAAAAATATATGATTTGCACCTAACAACATGAAACAGTCACATGTTAGTCTATCAAAGCTCTATGGGATTAATATGCAAATTACATATTTGTATTTTATTTTTCAACATCATGTCCGTGAAATCAGTATAATTGATATAATTATTTATTTCACCGTCAACTTCAACAAACCACCCCTTTAAGCTTATATTTTATTAAAAATATTTTAGTTCTCAAGTATTTTACTCGCATTTAGCAATACTTGTACTCAGAATGAAAATGGACATTTCTTAAATAAATATCACGTCTGCAGTAAAAGTCGTCTTGAATAAGTACAACCGCAGTTCACGGTGCCATTTACTTTTAAGACTAACTTTTACTGCTACAAATTTTGCGTTCTCGAATTTCCATCACTAACGATTCTCATTACGGTGCAAGATTTATATAGCCAATTATTTATTTATATTCTGACATGTGTGTGTTCCATTCTGTTCTTACCAGTGTTGCATTTGAGAAAAGAGCTCTGAAAATTATAAAAAAATTATTTCATATTGTGATATTTCTAGAACCATAATAAGATGATATAAAGTTTGTAATTTGGAGACCGTCTACAGAGTTTCAATGACTTTTAAATATTTTGTGTTTTTTTTTAGATTTGACTTAAAACAAAAATTGAATGTCTAGTTTGTATTTTTTTTATTTTTTTTTATCTGCTAATAAAAAGTTTATTTCACTAAGTTTAATTCAGATAAATTAATAAAACCATTAATATCAAAATGAATATCCCACTGTAGCAATAAACGTGAACAAAGTTAAAGTAATCGGCAACACATTTATTAAAATAAGGACCAAGTATATGTAAAAGTGTTTGGTTTTACATGAAAAATTGTGATTTTTAAAAACCTATTTATATTTTTTTGTGAAATTATGTAATATTTAAGTGACATTTATATTTTTATAGCACAATATTCTTTATTATATTAAAAAGAACTGCGTAACTTCTTACTACGTTTGAAAGATATAATTTTATTTGCTCATCTGCTCATAAGTTCTTTAGTCCCAAGTATTTTAAATATTACAATTAGGATTTTTCACTTTTTTTTAACTGATGCCTTCAACAAAAATAAATTTATTTTTGATAAACTCATATGAAA